TAATAAATAATAAAGATAATTTATTGCATCCTTAGAAATACAGTGTTTCCATCAGTTTATAGCAACAAAAGTATCTATCTAATTATGTTTTGTATGTGTTTTTTTTTTTTTTTTTTACAAAATTAAGTACAATTTAAGTACAAAATGCTAAGAGGAAGTTTGAACACTTTATGTATCATTACTGCATTAAAAAATATCGAAAACAGAAACCATGATATAACTACATGATAAATAAGTATTGATCTAATTATGATTGTCCGCTCACGTGACAGTGATTTGACCTCCTCCAATAGACTTGTTGATATTGGACGTCAATAAAAACACACCAAGCTTACAGTGAATATACGCGTGGTTTACTAGTATACATGGCCACGTTGACAATATAAGGTGAAGAAAAGGTGAGATAAGGGGTCAGTTAATAGTCAGTTGACGGTCCCGAAACGGCAGCGCCACAAAAATCAAAATATTCTGTAAATGTTATTGTAAATTGACCTTACCTTCTGCGGTTTACCGACAACCAGGCAATTTAAAACAACCATTCGTACAGATATGCGTACTATGTGGACTCCACGATGATTTAATGGACTAATATCTCTCAATATGTATAAATACTTCGTCAAAATAATGCGGGAACAAGTCAGAAGAAGTCAAGTTTCAATGTTCTCACTCATTATTTCAAAGAACAAACAAACCGGAAGTCATTTTAGGGCGTTGAGCATGCGCATACGCGGGACTTTCACACGCAGAAGTTTTACGATGTTTCACGTCACAGAATAGCCGGTGTTTTTTATAATATATTGGAATTTATGCCTAACTTCAACCATCAACCGATGAATTATCATGACAAATATATTTTTCAAAATGACCGCTTTAAATTTTATGTTATTTCAGTTATACAGTACGTGTTACGTATTATTTCTTTCTCAGTTTTATTTATACTGTAAGTTGTTGCTGTGATTTCTACTAGCTCAACATTGGTACGATTTTGTTCTGATCGGGAATTTGAAATCAGTCTCACGTCAAGCTTAGGTGGAATGTCGTTGTTTGTAACGATGGTACATTTTTGTAATTTACCGTCATCTACTATATTTTCTCCTCATTTCATACCATGTAATGGTTGGAATTTATTTAAGTGGGAACTTGACTTAGTATATTGAAAGTATGACCTAATTTCCATCTTCTATGCTCTATATTCTAACTTTAAAGTGAAAATAGGTGGGCCGTTCCGACACGCATTGGTAAATTCATACAGTATATTGAAAATCGAGCCTGAGTGTATCAATAGTGTAAGTAGCAAACTCAAAACAGTTCATTTAAACCAAGGCGATCAAGTTATGCATCATAACTTAATGTGATACAGATTCGATGTCAACTTTGTAATCTATATCACACTAGATGAGGAGTGTGTTATATAAGATCAGTGTGATATTAGATCACTGTGGTTTCTAATGTTAGATGGTTTCAAGCTCAGACTAGTTGTATTACTAGTCTGAGTTTCAAGTTAACAGGATTAGCGGCCAGCTCATTACACACGATTACACAGCTCAAAGTAATCTTATTGCACAAATTTGATTTTTCATGCGATCATTTGGGGGACATTTAAAAACAAATGATATGCCGAATTTCATACTAAGCAGTAGACTGCATGGAAAGGTGTATATTTTAGTCAAAATTGAGCTTTATGTCAAAATCAAAAGAAAAAAAGAAAAGAAAAGAAGTGTACATTTCACCGTTTTGAGATCACTAATACTATATGTCATTCTCATTTAGCATCCTTATTTATTTATTTATTTATTTATTTATTTATTTATTTATTTATTTATTTATTTATTTATTTATTTATTTATTTATTCAAATTTTATGCAAATGTACTACGCCCACATTTCATTTATTTTATTTTGATTGTTGCAATTGTCATGTGAATGATACTGTATTACAATCTCCAAGTGACGGTAACATATTTTTCAAGTTCGAAGTTCAGCTGCTTATAATTCTTTGTTTATTTGCTCCAATGAAAATATATATTTACATATACTTGTAAAAATAGCTGCCGTGGTTCATATCCCTCTTGGTTGCCGGCCGTCATTTTCATTTGGTGTACACTGCCGGCCACTAGAGCTCAGACAAACAACCAGACTAGAGTAATTTATTTATGTAACATTTTTTTATTTCGATATAAAGTTCACTTTCTTTTGTTCTTTGTTCGCCGGATTTGACTGTGTCCCCGTGATCAATTCAACCAAGGATTTATCAAATATGTGGGCCATTATCCAATATCCTTTATTCAACATAGAATGTAAATGTAGAAAATGTTTGGAAAGGAGAAGTTTTCAGAATTAATAATCTTGATGATGTACTAGTAAGATGTTTAGTGTTTTTGTTCAATACCACATTTAGTAGACATCCACGGATACAAACATATACTGTATATTATGGTTTGTATATTTTTGGAGTGGTGTATAACACAGCGGTGAAAATATGAAACAAATTATATTATCCGGTATTGATATTTCCAACTTTTAGTTGCCTGTGTGTAGCGGTAAACAGTCTAAACAGGCATCACAATAAACACAGATGTCGCCCTCTATCGGTTAACATTGCTTGGTATTTTTGGGGAAGTGAACATTCTGGTCACACTATGTGATCGATATACTAGTACATGTAGTTCTCATTCCGTTATGGAATCGCGCCGCGAAGGTCGAATGCGTTTTAATTGGCTCTCTAAATTGGATCCCCACTGTTGTAGAGACCAACAGAACCAAACCATCCCCTGACCTCTGAGTGTTGACTGACTTTCTTCGTTCAGGTCGTTCCGGGGTTTGTCCGATAATGTTCATTCGCAAAGCAAGATGTCGCAGTTTTGTCGTCTTGATTTCGATCGTGTTGTCGCTTCAGATTATACTGTTTGTAAAAATTTACAACACGGAATCTGGAAGTACAGAAGTTGCCATGGATCCAGCAGAAGTAGTTAGATGGGAAAACCACGGCGAATTATTCAGCGGAACCAGGGAAAGTTTTGTTGAGATGTCGAATATGTCCTGCACATGTAGACAGTCAGTATGATAAGTACGGCATCCTTGATAAGCTCCAAGATTCAGGTAAAATATCTTTGTTTTCCAAATAATAAATTCATTTTTTTTTTCCCATTTTTGTTTACATGCGTACTGAACTGATTTAAATACTGAACACAGTTGGTAGATTTGGATTCAACTGTGTTGACATGAGTCTGCGTTGCCGCGGCGTTGTGTGTGGAACAGTTTTTCAAATAAGAATCGTTTTTTACTTGTTAAACAATATAAAACAACTACATGCCATTTTATGTTTTTTTAGTGAATTTGGCTCAGTGCGAGGATTAGCAGAATCGTTATTTAGCTAAAAGTCCCAATTATAATTAAATTAGGGGAAATACAAAGATTATAACTAAATTAAACTGTTTTGCACTGCTGTAACACTTTATTTTCACTGTTTTGATGATTTTGAGCAATTTCTCTGGGTTCTATTCAGCTATCTATTGTTATTGACTCCTGTGTGCGAAAACACATTTAAGTCAATTTCAAGCTTTTCCACTGATATAATCATTACATTTCAATGAAACTTAGTACATAGATGTTCTAGGACAATTCACAGACCTGATTAGTTTTAGGTTAAATCCAGGCATAATTATTATTTGCATACTTTTCGGCTTTTCCATTGATATCTCAAGTTCTAATCACATTTGAATGACATTGTACAGACCTTATTAGTTTTTACGTTAAAATCTGTGTATATTAATTATCTGATTCACATAATAATCAGTAATATTTTTGTTTTTTCATCAATATCTCATACTAATCCTCTTATGTCAATAAATCTTGGTACATAGTATACTCTGAGACAATAGGATGACCTATGACCTAGTTAGTTTTGGGTTTAAATATATTCATAAGAATTTGCATAGTAATTAACCAATTTTCCACCTATATCTCAAAAAACAGTTATTTCATTTCAAGCCTTATAAGTGCATGGGGACATTGCTAACGTCCTGATTAGTTTTGGATTGAAATTCAAGCACACTAATTTCATAATTTGCACAATATGCATAATTATTACATTTCATTGAAATTTAGTACATAGGTCTGGTGTAATCCACAGATGTGATTAGTTTAATGTTGAATACCATGTATATTCATTGATTATCTAATTATTATTAGCCAAATTTCGATATCTAAAAAATTCAGATTTAAATTGAACTTGTGGTATAGGTGCTGCCGAATAAATTAGCCTGCAAAGCAAATGTCCTAAATCAAATTTATTTTCTTTCTGTGAATATTATAAACTTCAATACATTGTTTTCATGTTGGGCATCTCATGTAGCAGACAAGCTTCTTGTTTGAAGGGCTAGTATTAAATTTAGAATTAATTTTTTAATATGCCTCAAATACTTTCAGAACATGGGAACACTTCGTAAGCTTTTTTTGATTTTACATGTTTACATATAGTGTTAATTAAGCAGATTTTACTAATCAGCAAAGAAAATAGTAGAATTAAAAACCTGTGAATACTAAATGCGTTCACAGTACCCCACACAAATGACATATTTTATTGACTAACAAATTAACTACCATCCCTTGTGTGCAGTGAGAATAATTCAAATAATGTGTGATATTGTTATATACCAGTATATTTTCAAATGCTTAACACTAGATATTATCCCTTTGTGATTAAAAAATATTATACTGGTCATTTTATATAAACATGGAACACATGCCTTTGAAATTCAAAGTCTTAACTTTCACAAAATAAATCCATATTTTTACAAAAATGTGCAAGACATATAGCCAATGAGAAATTAAGTCAACAAATTATGGAAAATACATATTAATAACAATATGCGAATTGTTAAAATTCAGTTTCAAGCATTTAGCAACTTTATTAATCGTTTGGGTTGACATTAACAGACATGAGTGAGTACCGGTACAGCCAGTTTTGTATTAAGACTTTAACGATCTACACCGAAGTGTATTGAATGTAATACTTATACTACTCAAATTATATTACTTTGAAGTGAAGGTTACTTTGGAGATGCAGAATTGTTCAAGTTACGAACATAGAATTTGGTTCTAAGAATGACCATGCTCTGAAATCATTTCCTCAATTTTTCATAACAGTATGATGTCATTCATTACCCATAATTCTGTGCTGGATAATAAAGATGATGTTCTACATAATTCTGATGACAAGTTGAATATATCTAAACAAATTTAAACTGATAAAAAAACAACAACTTACATTGTATTCTCCTAAATTTGTGGAGCTCTTTCATCTAGGAGCATTATGGTGTTTGTGTAGTCTTCTCCATTAAATACAAACATGAATGGTTTCACTGTCACTTGTTGTGTGATATGTTTATATATGTAAACTAAAATACATGTAGAAGCTTTTAGTACGACTTGTTGAAGGAATTAAAAGAGTTTTCACAATCTTTCATCAAATTTGATTGTAAATACAAAGTATTGTTTTACCAGTTTGCATCTGATATTATATGTAAGTTTCCGAAACCAAGGAAAAAATCTGTATAATATGGGAGTTACCTACTCAATTGTTCAAAATATGAACATTTTATTTTTTGAAAATTACCCCCTCCCCGAAAGAAACAAATTTAATGGCCATTTTTAATATCTTTTG